CATAGAACAGGGTCGCCGATGCTCTCAGCAGGAGGTCTGCACTAATTACTAAACTGCAAACTGATCACCAAGGCCTTCAGTACCTCACGGAACTTTATGCCTCCGATGTCGACTTCGCCGATATCTGGAATGCTCTGTCACAGGATAAAGCTCAAGCCGCTCAAGACTACACTCTTCGGCACAACTACTTGTTTAAAGGCAATCTCCTCTGCATTCCCCAATCATCTTGGCGAGAACACTTAATTAAGGAGGTTCACAGTGGTGGTTTGGCTGCTCACACGGGGAGAGCCAAAACTCTGGAGCAAATGCAAAGCCGCTTCTACTGGCCTCACCTACGACGAGATGTAATCAGATTTTTGGAACGATGTCCGATATGCCAGATATATAAAGGTAATGCCCAAAACACCGGATTGTATATACCTTTGCCACTACCGAACTCAATCTGGGAAGATTTGAGCATGGATTTCATACTGGGACTGCCAAAAACAAAACGGGGAGCGAACGCCATAATGGTGGTTGTCGATAGATTCTCCAAAATGGCACACTTTTTAGCCTGTAAGAAGACCTATGATGCATTGAATGTCGCCATTCTCTTCGTTAAAGAAATAGTCCGCCTTCACGGATTGCCCCATAGCATCACATCCAACAGAGATGTGAAGTTTATCAGTCACTTATGGCAAGAACTTTGGAAACGGCTACGGACTGAAATCAAGCTGAGTTCAGCATACCACCCTCAAACTGACGGCCAGACGGAAGTCGTCAATCGCTCTTTGGGAAGTATGTTGAGATGCATTGCTCATGAGCACCCAAAACAGTGGGACGATTACTTGGGGCAGGCCGAATTTGCTTACAACTCCATGAGCAACCGATCAACCGGCCAATGCCCGTTTAGCATAGTGTATACTAAAATTCCTAATCATATTGTCGATATTGCTGTTTTACCAAAGTGCAGGAGCAAGGCGGCTGCTGAAACCACCGAACAATATGTCAAAATGCTGGAGGACGTGAAGACCAAGCTCTCGGCATCAAATGCACAGTACAAAGAACATGCTGATCAACGTAGGAGGGAGCAGATTTTCGAACCCGGCGAGCTGGTCATGGTCCGCTTGCGCAAAGAAAGGTTCCAACCCGGAACTTATTCCAAATTGAGTCCACGGCGAATTGGACCAGTGCCCATCCTACAGCGTATCAACAATAACGCCTACGTCGTCGACCTACCTCCTGGTTTTCTAACTCCTGCAACTTTCAACGTAGCAGACATCATAGCTTATAAATCCGCAGATACTGGTATCGCCCAAATTCATTCCTCAGGCGAGGAATCTCTTACAGAGGGGGAGATCTGATGTGATGACTATTCCTAGTCCCATTATTCCTAGCCACGTCCGCTGCAGCCTCCACTAGTTCTTTTTACTTTCTGTTATTTTACAGACTTTTGGCAGCATTACTTTTTCCTAGTCAGCTTTCTTCTTAGTATAGATAGGGAAATACCTCACTGGAGGCGATAGTTCTGTTTTTACTGATATAGTATTCCCGATTTGGGTTCTCCCCTGCCTTTCTTCCTCTTCTCGCTCTCTCTGGACTGCTTGTTCTTCTCTAAATCTCTTGTTCCTCTAACTATTTCCTCTTCCCTGTTAGTTTCTCTCATTATTTGCAGGTTTCCACACCAATTGTAGAGGCCATTCCTTTCTTAGCAAGTCAAATTATCCTTGAGCCTTGTTCTTGAAGACACAATATGAAGGATAAAAGATAACATTGCACTTAGAATGATTTGTTAGATTTTGGATTGAAAATAATTTGATTAACAATTTAAATATATGAGAATATTTTGAAGTGTAAGAGATATATTTATAAGATTTTTTTCTTCACCAACAATAATCATTAATGATCCATTGGAAATAATTATTTCCTTGTTGCTAGGATAAAAAATGTATGAAATAAATTAATGTGTGGAGTTATGTATATGGTTTGTAGCTCTTGAATCAATGATCTAAGAGAAAATGAGTATCTTTGAAACTTCAAAGACATAAGAAGAGGAAATAATACCTAAGAATACTAGAATACAAATATCTATTATAGATATTTTTTCCAATGATACGAATAAGTATTTCAGCTTTGTGAAACTCAATGGGTGATTTATGGGTGTTAACTTCTCCCTTATGTGATACATTTGCATATATGCATATCTTTGCTCCTTGGCTTGTCTTCCTTGTGCTGTCCAATTTAGATATTATGGTTTGGCAATAAGTTTTCAAAATCTTTTCATTCTTTGTTAAGCCTTTTTACAATGCATGTGCACCATAGAGTATCTCTATTGGTCATCTTTGTTGGAGTAGATTGCTTGTGGTCCACAACATCAGAGGTTGTTGAGCTAGAGTTCTTTATGTTGGCAGCCTTTGAAACTAAAGTCTAGCCTTCAGTAGGATTGTTGGTAATCATGAATCACGTTCTTCAGTTTAGATAATGGAAAAGATTTCATTTATTAAGGATAAATCATCTTTTCCAAGAATTTGTACTCTTACAAAATCAAATTCAACGTGTACTTCAGCAAGGATTATATATATGCAACCTTTTTCAACAAAACTTGCATGTTTATTGCGTTCCATTTGAATGCATTAATATTGATAAATCTTTTACTATATATTTTGCAATAGGTTGGACTATTTTTTTATAGATCATTCTCCTTGCTTTGTGGATGAGATCTTATTCTTAACTTCATAGATTTGTGTAGTTTCACAAACTCTAAAATATATTTGATTCATCATATCCCATATTTCCTATGTTGAACAGAGGAATATGCATGTATCACTTATCTCAAGAACCATAGAGTTTCATAAACAAATCATCACCGTAGAGTCATGTTTGTCCCAAATATAAATGTGGGATCTCCTTGCTCAGGTTTGGTGTCAAATAAATGATCAAGATTTTCTCTTCCCTTGAAGAACAGACTAATCAATTGCAACAATTTTAGATTGTTCTTTATTCAATCGATATGTTGAATGGATGTTTTGAAGTTCTCCCATTGAATTTGGATTCTATCCCTCAATCCCAAGAGAACCTAAGGCCAAGGGAATGTGGGTAGTGTTTTTATCATAGATACAGAGGAAAATTATGATTATAATCAAAGAAAACCAGAAAAAAAATAAGGAAAAGGGAAAGAGAATGCAGGCTTCAACAAGACAAAAAATAAAAGGGTGAACATTTGGGAAAGGAATGAAACCACAAGTCATCCTAAGGAAAAAAGAATAGCTTAGAGCTCTGATTATATGACAAGAATTAGATAATTTGTTGAATATTTTATTTCAAAAATTTATAGAATTTTAAGAAAAATTTTAATAGGAAATATAACAAATTTAAAACTGAAAGATCAATAACTACATAATAATTACAGTAGCACAACCCATAGTCTCAAATCCATGTAATTGAAAAACACATCATATGGTTGGACAACTCAAATTTTCAAGAAGATCATGAAAGGTTTCCGACAAAAACTATAAAAGGTACTTGCTAAGGACAACATATTACAAATCAAAGGAAACGAAATTGCACCTGGTGGAGTTCCACAGCACATGTTCCTGTCATCTATATGCTCAACTTCCAGCCCAATAAACCAAGAACCAAGAGATACGTCCTCATTTGCATATTTGTGTAATATAGGTCTATATAAAATGAAGAAAACATATTAGAATCATAAATAATAGGGAAATTTACATACATGCCATTTTATACCATTCTATTTACATATCTAACTCATAAAATTTTAATATGACATACATACCACCCTAAATTATTTTAGTATCAAATATGTTACTCATATTTCCTTCCTATCACTCATATATTTCGTTTCTACCACTCATATTTGATATGAAAATGAACTATAGGTGATATGTATGTAATATTAAAGTTTTAGATGTTAAATATGTAAATAGAGTTAAGCCTGCAATATATAAGACCGCCCGTCATGACTTACTGGTTGATAGAAATGAATGTTGCCAGATCTTTTGAGATGGCGTAGATCTGACCAGTTGCATGGCGGAAGTATTTGTTCCCTTCTTCTCCAAACTTCCAATACTCGGGCTCATGGTACTTCACATTCCTGCAAATCATTAAACAAAGAAAAGAACAGCAAAGCTCAAAATACAGATTCGGTATGACAGGGAGGTTTTAGGGGTGTTGTGTTGTTTTTACTTATTTGAAAGGACTGGACCAGACTTCATGCAACCAACGTACACCCTGGGTTTGGACCTGTGGCGTGCAAGAGTTGCAGCCAGCATGCCTGAAGCACAAGTGAAATGCTTCTTAAATTAGCAGGAATGCCCTTCCTAAGAAGACTAATATACAAAATGCATCAAAGCTAGACATATAATACCTAAGTTAACATGGATATCATCATCAACCTTTACATAAAATTCAGCGTCCCATTGAGTAACTGCTGTAGAAAAGAATATCTTTGTCTTCGCGGATAATTCATGATATCCTTCTACATGATCCTGATCAAACTCATGGAAGTTATTAATAAAGAAATTAAGGCATTTAAGCCTTGTTTAATGGAGTAAGGAATGCAACTTACCAGCCTAAGAAAGTCATTATGTTGTTCTTCTTCTGAATTGATTGCCCTATCTAGAATGCTGCCTGATATAGCACTGTGAAAGGAAAACCAAGTAGTGTTTAACAAATGGAATTAATTACTGTTGCATTCAGAACATCAAAGAACAGGAACTACAAAGGGTAAATACACACTTGAGCACATCCAAGAAGAGAAATTTGGGTAATTATCAGTTGGATACCTCAAATGGTCTAAGTTTTTTAAAGCCCTCCATTTCTGTCCCAAGAGGTTTTTGATTTTGCACCTAGTCCCCTAGCTTTAGTTTCAAGGCTTCAAAGAGGCCTTTTTTTGCTAACACCATTAAAATCTCCATTAATTTAGCTGACATGAATTATTTTATACTTAAATTTAAATGGTATTAATTTTAATGATCAAATACCCTAATTGTTTCTGATTGGTCCCTGAAATTCAAGTCTTCATAAAATTCCATCTTTTCAGTTTCTTGTTCTATTCTGGAATTAGGATTCTTCTGCAGTGATATATCCAGACCCTATCCGTTGGCATCGGAGTATTGCATTTCTAGAGATTGTTGTTCATTTTCTAGAAAATTTATTTGAACTGCTTTGGTCAAATAATATTAATTTCTACAACCAAATTACTCCCATCGTCAACTTGCTCTATTGTAGTGTTAGGTTTTTGAAGGAAAGAAAGTGAGAGAAGTGATATTTGCATGTTGAAATTAGTATTAGAAAAGTCAATCGCTTTGCTTTCAAATTTTCTAAAGAAGAATAAAACATAATTTTCTTTCATTGTATTTTGATGATAATTAAAAAGATCAAAGCCAGCAACTTGATCGGGATAAAAATGATATTCAGATTGGAAGTAAAATCACAGTATGCCCATTAATCATATATGAATCTCGCTCCTGGACTGATTGGCACCAATATCAAATATATATTCAATGAATTCAATTAGAATAGACCCGTCTAAGAAGAATAGGGTTCACAACCAATACGAATGGCTTCAAGTGGGGCCAACAATAGCCACACTCTGATAAGATAGGAGAGAAACGGATAAAGAATTAATGGAACAAGGATATAGAGATATCCAAAGTAGAGTCCTCAGATCATTAGTTTAGATATACTATCCAGAAGGCATAGGTCTTGTTTTAACTCTATTGCTCTGTCTATTGAATTTATTTTTAAAACTTTAAATGCCAAAGCCCAATTGATTCAGATCAACATGATTTGATATGAGATTTTAATGATGTCATTTCTGAGTTGATGCATTTACAATTGATCCAACTCTTTCATTGATAACAACAACAACAATAGCATCATCAAGCCTTTATCCCACCATGTGGGGTCGGCTACATGAATCATTTTTCTCCATTGTATCCTGTTAAGAGACAAATTCTCATTTAAATCTAATAAAGAAAGGTAATTTCTAATATTTTTTAACCAAGTCTTTTTAGATTTACCTTTACCATTCATAATATAAGTCAAATCTAATACGTTTACTCTCCTAAACGGGTCATCGGAAGGCCGTCATTTTATGTGACCAAATCATCTTAGACGACTCTCTCTAATCTTATCTTTCATCGGAGCTACTCCAACCTTTCACATATAAGTTCTTTTCATATCTTGTCTCTAAGAGCTATTACTTGTGTTCAAACACAAGGTGGTTTGCCCAAGTATTTTTCTATTTCGGTTAGGTTACATCAAGGATCAGCCTTAAGCCCATATCTTTTTGCGTTAATCATGGATGTTCTCACTAGACATTTGCAAGAGGAGTACTTGGTGGTAATGCTTTTTGCGATGAATTCTTCTTGTTGACTAAGAGGGGAGTTGAAGGAAACTTGAATTATGGAGGTCACCTTAGAGTCTAAAAAGGTTTTCGCTTGAGTTAGATAAAACGGAATATATGGAGTGTAATTTTTAGTAGTAATGAATATGTGATGGGCATTGTGAACTTTGGGCGATCAAGTCATATTAATAAGAGTACACGTTTTTAGATTATCTTGGTCTATTGTCAGAGTGATGGTGAAATAGATGGGGATTTATCAACAGAATTCAAGTTGGATGGTTGAAGTGAGGAATGCATCGGGCTTTTTATGTAGTAGAAAATGTAACCCCTCAAACTTAGGGAAATCTATAAGATGGTAATGAAGGCCTACAATGCTTTATGGTGCGAATGTTGGCCTTTAAAAAGAGAAGCATAATACTAAGTTGAAAGTGTGGCAGAAGATGAGGATGCTCAGGTGGATGAGTGGCTTTAACCCTTAGAGATAAAGATACGAAATGAGCATATACATGAAAACGTTTGGAGTAGCTCAGTAAGAAGATAGATTAGGAGAGTCGCCTTAGGATGGTTTGGTCACATAAACGGCGGCTTTCGATGACCGGTTAGGAGAGTAGAGGTATTAGTTTGACTTTGTTAACAAAGGTAGGGGTAGACCCTAAAAGACTTGGTTAGAAAATAGTTAGAATGACCTTCTTTATTAGATTGTAAAACGAGGAATTTGACTTTTATAGGACACAATGGAGAAAAAGATTCATCGTGGCCGACCCCATGTTGTGGGATTAAAGGGCTTAGATGTGTTGTATGTTTTGTTGTTGTTGTGTATCTTAATCACTTATCACCTGAACATCTTATCTCCGCAGACATTAACTATAATTATATAGCTTATCTCTTTTATTGGCCATCATTCCGCACCATGATGGCTTTATCTTTGTAGAATAACTACAACATACCCATTCTACCCATCATGTATGTTTACTATAAACTATCAAAGCTTTCTGTTGAAAAAATAAATATTTGATATCTGTCATATAAGTCAACTACATCATATATTCCTCCTTTGTCTATAGTCGAGCCAGAGGGGAGTTTGGAAGATAATGGTAACCTTAGCTAGTTTAATGATCTAATCACAGATCTGAAATCTGGAAAATGCTAGGGAATCAAAACTTTTTCCGACCAACTTAGAAGCTGTGTTGACCAAAATATCAACATTTTTTAACCATCTTTTTTTAGTAGCTTATTGTCTTAAGTAATCGATATCAGTCCACAAGCATTTAACACCATTGAGTCTCACTACATTGATCGAGTCGCGCTCGTTTAAGCCTGTGTTTTTGAAAAACTGAAAGTCTCACTCTGATCCCCAACATTTGGTCTTGGTGCCACATAAGTACACTCTATTAGCTAAATGGTAATTGAGTAAAAAAGACTGTAAATACCCTCAATATTTCACTCAATTCTTGCTTTTTATCTAAATGTAGGAAACCAACCCTCCAACTTCCACCTAATTTTGATGATCTCTCGATGATGTCTCCCTGCAATGATCCCACAGCCTCTTGCCGCTAGAAGCTTATTGTCCTTTTTCAATTGCCTCCTACCTTCATATTGTTCTCTACAATCACAATGATTGTAGTGGCTCGAGCCTAAACAACAGTAGAGAATTAAGCTGGAGATCTGAAGGTTTTATCTTCAAGTAATCCGATTTTGAAATTAAGAAGAGACTCTTTGAAACTGTTTATTATCATGTACTTGTAGTTTAGCTTGAAATCTTAGTTCTTGTTGGACGCTCTCTGATAGAAACACTTGGATTTCCAGTGTTTCTCACAAGATCAAGTAGATACCTAAGAAAACTGCTGTCCACAGCAGAAAATCAGCCTCCAATTATCAGAAAAAACTGAGATGAAGCGTAGGAAAAAGATGCAAACACTTTATTCGTAACGGAGTTGAAAGCACTAAAGATATAACTTCCTGTCAATTCTTGAGAGGAAGAAAAAACTCTCCAAAAGATTCTCCCGGCGCCGAAGTACCAAAGAGTCCCAAGACACAAATTACCTAGTAACTCTCAAAAACAATTCAAATTTCAAGATAATCACCAAGTCCCCAAACTGCCACAAAACACCATAAACACAACGAAATATCTAACACGAAATGACCTAAACACCCTTCGTTCAAATATTTCCCTCCTAATCTGCATTACCATAAGTGGCTCCACCAAATTTCCGCCAGCGCCTGGTCCGCTGGGTCTATTCCGTCGCTGGAATAGGACCCGGACGGTCCCTCCTGGACCGGTCCAGCCGCCCCTCCTGGGCAGGCGTAACATTACGCATTCCCAAAGAATCACCTGTCCTCAAGGTGAAAATCAGGAACTGTGCTTCATCCTCAATATGGCTCCACGTAGCCTCGTATGCAGGAAGGTTTCTTTCACTGGATCAACACTTCCTTAGTTTTATCTTCTTTCTTGCGCAACCCCTTGAGCTCCATAAGGTCTAGATCACCTCTAACGTTCCTCAGTCAGGGTTGCTGGTAGCTCAGAATTGCGCGTGTGCTCCCAATGGCCTTCCTCAATTGTGACACCGTGAAACACTGGATGTATAGTTGACCCGATGGAGAGTAGTTTCAGATCTGTATGCCTACGGCCTTGCAATCTTCCTCCAGTACTTCATAGGGCCAAAGTACCTTGGGAGCCAGCTTTTTCATTCCTTCCTGTGGCAAACTGTCTTCTGTCTTATAATGGTCGGAGCCTTCAGAAAACAACCCTCTCTCCCTGCTGCAAACTGATGTCCTTTCCTATTGCCCATCCGCCTGCTTCTTATAGTTTTGTTGTGCTCTCAGTAGATGTCCTTTTTAGCTCTTCCAGTACTCGGTCTCTCTCCTCTAGTAACTTCTTCTACTAACGAAACAGGAGTGCTGCTTAACTCCCAAAATGACAAGTGTGAGGATCCCTATCCGTACAGCACTTGAATGCATCAATCTGTGAAGCTGAGTGAAAAGAGGGTTTTACAGATATTCTGCCCAAGGTAACCCCATTTGGCCCAAAGCTTAGGTGTCTCCGAACAAAACAACTCAAGTAAGGTTTCTTAAAGACTCCTATTAACACCTCCGTTTGTCCATGCTGTTTGTGGGTGATAAGCGTGGCTCTTTTCAACTGTTCCTTGTAACTTGATACAGCTCCTCCAAAAGTGACTAGGACACTTGTACTTATCGGACACTATTCTCTGGTATCCCATGAACACTGACCACCTCTCTGAATGAATGCTAAGGCCACTGTTACTTGCGGTGTAGGATGTCGGAGGCGGAAAA